TATATTATGAATTTTTTTTACTAAAAGTTAGGTGCAAACTGTATTTGTAACGTAAACGAATTAGGAGTATATAGTAGCACAGCGCTCATACGAGGATTCAATTACACAGGCTGTAGTTGTAGAGATTTCAATTAAATCCTAGTATAATGCAAATTAGGGTTTTCAAAATAATCAGATTGAAAAAAGATAAAAATTAGGGATTACGTACTGCTGAATGCGATTCCGGAGGAGGCGACGATGCAGGTCTGGATGACTGTATTCTCCTGGCGGGTGAACGGCTGCTTGAGGAATCCGAATCTGTTGAGCAGCTCCGTGTATCCCTTCAGCATCGCGAATCCGAGCAAGCCGGCGGCGACGTTGAGCGACGGGATCACTCCGGTGGTCAGATTCAGCTTGCAGACGATGAAATTGAAAACCAGGCTGAGCAGCGCGCTCGCGAAGATCGCGCGGAACGTCAGCTGCTGCCACAGCGACGGCACCTCCGCGTCCCTGAACGCGTCCTCCACCGAGATCTTCCCCTCCGCCGCCGCGTCCTCGGCCACGATCTCGTCGGAATCGCGGCCGGACTCGTCCGCGTAGCGCGGAGGGTGCCGCCGCTGGACGCCCGTGGCGCTGTCACCGCCGGTCATTGTCGTTCGACTCGATTGGAGGAGTTAGTGTGGTTTTTTGGTGGGAGAGAAGGGTTGGTTGGAGATTGGGACAGAGGGAATGAATGAGACTGAATGTTGTTGGGTTATTTATATAGGGAGAGATTGGGAAAGAATTTCGGCGTCTGATTCGAGAGTGATTTGATTTTCAATGGGATTGTGATTACTGCTTTTCTCTCGTAGAGGTTTTAGAGATCTACTGGTGTTGTTACTTGTTACAATTACAGCTGGATCGAGGCTAATAGGGCCGTGGATGGCACGCGCTATTGTATCACCGCCGTTGGATTGACATATAATTAGGGTTAGTTTGGTGTGATTGGTGTTAGTTTAGTAGTTTGGTTTGAAGACTTAAACGTGAGCTGTGTTTTCTCCTAGTGAATTAACAAAAGGGTCGTTTGGATGGAGTATTTGTATGAGTTATTTGGGTTCAAATAACGCACAATGAGTTATTTGGATGCAAATAACTCGTTTGGCAGCGTTTTACTCAAATGAGTTATTTGGACAGTGAGTTATTTACAAATAACTCAAAACGAGTTATTTGAAATAACTTATACTCATGTGTTATTTCGAAATAACTCGTTTTATCACTCTGCTTTTTTCAAATACCACATGTCAAATACCACATTTGTATGGTTCAACCAAACGAGATACTTTATTTCAATTACCACTAAAATAACACTGAAATACCACATGAGCAATAAATGAGTTATTTAACTCTACAAATACCACATTGACAATTAACCCATCCAAACGACCCCAAAATTAATCAATTAATTCGTTAATTAGTTCTTGAGTGGGGACTTGGGATTCTTATCAATTACTTGTGGAAGAAAATAACATGGTTGTCATCTCATTAGCATGTCAGCCGGTATGGTAAAACTGAGTTCTATTTATACCCATTATAAAATTGGGTTCGGTTGATTGATCGAGTTCTATTAATACCAGTTATAATTAAATAATAATACATTTTTACTGGTTTTCTGAGATTGAAAGTTAAATTTTGATATTATTTGTTGGATTAAATTATGAATGTTTATAAACTTTTGGATGTTGTCGTTAAATGTTATATTTAAATATGAAGGATTTTTAATTGTATTTGAAATGTTGTATTTTATTTAAATATGAATGTAAATTTTAGAGATATTGTCTTCAAATATGTTATATGCATGCCTAAATTAATTAAGTGTTAATGATTTCCCATTTCCATACATATTTTGCTAAAACAAATATGAATTGAATTGGCATAGATAGATTGTACCAGCTATCAGACTATAACTTACCAAATAGGCATAACAATATAAACCGGTTTCAGAACCTTGGAAAATAATCAGCTTCATAATCTTTTACATTATTATTGTTATATTATTTCGTGCGCTACAAATGAAAATAATAAAATTAATCACAAAAAGGAGAAATTTGAGAAGGAATAGGGAATCAATTAAATTCGAACCCAAAAATGTATAGATTGGTTGGTGAGCAGCCAGCTGTTGCATGCATGTTTAGAGACCCAATTGCCAGTTGCATACATGATAGAAAGACCCGCACGTACGGGCCACCCAAGCCACTGGTTCGAAACGCAACCGAAAGACTAAAAATCAACCCAACGACCAAACCAATGCAATTGCTTACTAGCTTCGTTATTATAACGACGAGCAGGGCCGTACGTCCAATGGATCGTGGAGGCTCTGTTCCAAAATCGAGATTTGGCCCATGAAATCTTACTATAAGTTAATAAAATTAAAATGATTATAATATTATTATTCGAAATATAATATCTTTCTATTTTTTAGTCTCCATTAGATCATTTTCAATTGTTATCATAGTTATTTCATTAAGATTTTTTTGTATTATTGTTAATACAAATAGGATTTTCGAAACACAAACAATACTTTAACCATCAATATACGTGTTTACTGTATATATGCATGAGATAATTAATCAATAACTAACACTAGTATTAATTAAACATATCATCATTCTCATAATCAATTGATCGTACACTAGAAATACAACCTACAATATACTATTGGATTAACTAACGAATCTAAGCCCTGTGCCGGAGAGACGGCTGACACACCCTCCAGGCCGGCCCTGACGACGAGCAGGAGTGGTAAACGGTCCAGCTTCTTAATGGTTTATTGATTTTGGTTGAATCGAGACCGGCCAGAAGATCATATCGATATTTTAACTAGGGCGGCTTTTTGGTTCGGGTTTTTTGGTTTTACCCGAAACCGGACTGTATAACCCGGACCGAGACCGGACCAGAACCGGATAGTAAATAATCCAATCCAATTTTTGGACTTAGATTTGAGGTAAAAAAAACCGTTCGGGACCGAATCAAAAACTGGATAAAGACTGTATAAGAGAGCTCAACATCCATAACTAAGGGTAATTTGCATAAACGGTCACACCTTTGCACTTAGTACAAAACTTAACCAACTCCTCACCTTTTCATGCCTTAGGCCACTCAAATCCCCACAAGTTCAATATAAAATCAAGACCGAATTGAGACCGGACCGGATCAAGACCGGACTATATCCAATCCAATCTTTAGTCCTTATATTTTCAAAAAGACCGAACTGGACCGGATCAATTTGGGCCAATTTAACCGGATCGTATAACCACCCCTACTATTAAGAGAAACCGATGAGGTCCGAATCCATTTCGGCAAAGCGTAATAATTATTATATAGCTATAAACACATATTATACTACTCATAACTAATGCAACATTCATATGCATCTCATTATAACGATTTGCCCTAAATAAGGTGGACATGTTGGTTGTGTGTACTTTAATTTGGAGAAAACGATCCACAACTACAACCTACCCAAAAATTATTCTTCATTTCTTTCCTTTAACTGGTACAATGTACAAGAATCCTTTGCTTCTCTTCTGTACCATGAATTTCTCCATAATTCATGACTGAATGTCTGCAACTTTACATAAGAATCTGACCATCAGACTGGGATTTCGTAAATTTAATGCCAAGACGAATTGGATTGCACAATCATGTGCACGATTGGATCACTATTCTTGATGTTGTATGATGAGAGGGCCTTTGGCATACTTCAACAAAGATGAGTCATTGTTAGGAGCCCGAGTTATTTATGGGATGTGCAAACACTTGGTTATATCATGTTAACTTGTATTATTATGCATAACATGATAGTGGAAGATCACCAAAACGATACTATGAACAATGTAGTTAAAATCGCGCTTTAAGATTTAAAAACCTATGTTTTTACACTTTTAGTTCACCAAAACGCTTCGTAGAATCAAACTTTTTACTTACAAATTACAATTGTAATCAAAATCTACCATTTAAAGTTTAAAAGCTTACGTTTTTACGCTTCTAAATCACCCAATTATTTGTACATGGAATTGCAATTTTGACTACATTAACCATGAGTATGAATTGCATTTAGCGATTTACCAATTTTTCAAATAAACTTTCTCAATAATTAATAAACCTAATCCAATCAACTATGAGCCTTTTGCTTAATTCTTCTTTGTAATTCAACCTACCATGCAAATGTCAATACAGTATTTTGCCGTATCTTCTTTGTAATCCAATTTCCGCTTCCCCTCATCCAGTCTGCCGCCAATAAGCGTTACGTTGTCGCTGACTCTGGTAGTTTTGGAGGGTCGGCGAGACATTCGATTACCGCCCAGCCCAGGATCCACCATCCAAATTAAATCGGCCGAGTCGTTCGGGAAAACACTCTAGCCATCAAAGCCCCCGGCACTGCTGTTAGCGAACTAACCACTTGGTCCCAATGAGTTATTGGGACCAAGTGGTTAGTTCGCTAACATGGTATCAGAGCCTAGAACCGAAAGGTCATGGTTTCGAATTCTCATGACGACCCCCAATTTAAGCAAACAATGGTTTAGTACAAGGAATGGTATGTCCAACCTGTACAAACTGAAAGCCTAATGGGTTTGGCAGCACAAGGAATGATACGTTCAACCTGTGCAAACCGTATAAAAAACCCCGACAAAGGTAGGCTTTCGTTTGAGGGGGCGTATAAGATGTTAAAAGGCTTAACTATCCCTTTCCCAACAACTCGAGTTATTGGGACCAAGTGGTTAGTTCGCTAACAACTGCTGCCACGTCATCCTCCTCCACCACTCGCCTTCCTATCTGTTCTTCTGATTCCTCCACTGCCACCACGTCCCAACAGCGACCCAGACTCGCGGCGTATCGATCTGCCCCCAATTTCACCATTATGATGGATGAGCCCAAGAGCCCTTCCCTCCAAGAACTCAGCATTAGCAACAACGCAAACCTCCACCATTTCCATGTTTCAGGTCGACCTTCAACACACTAGATAGGAGAATGTTAATCAACAGCACATGCACGGTGATGATGTGCCAGAATTATATTAATGCTCCCGAGTTATACTAACATGTATCACGCGCGCTGTGTTACTTATCACTACTGCAGGAGTCTGCCGATTGAATAAAACCCCGCAGAAGATGATAGCGCCAAACCATTTAATTTGTTCGACACAAATTTGCAAATCAAGAAGCAGGTGAGTCATGCTTGTACTCAGGTCTACAGCTACACATCTTAATCAGAGTCAAAAAGAAAAGCCAATTGATGATCTTCCTAATGGTACAATACTTCCTGTTACAATCAGCTCGACTGGATAGGATAGGTCGACTGTCTGAATCTGCCAAGCTAATTGTCCGGATGCTGCTACTAAACTAGTATAAAATGGCCAACCTGGGAGCAGGTTAGTTTGAAGAATAAGCAAAAATTGTTTCATTGCTATAAGTAGCTAGGGTTATTAATGAACCAAGCAGCTTGTTATAAACGCGCTGCTACGGATCGGAAAATCGCCGGAATCGATAAACCAAGAATACGAAAGCACGAATAAAAAAAACACAGACACACGATTTACGTGGTTCACTAACACGATGCGTGTTAGCTAGTCCACGGGCGAGAGAGAGCCAGTTTCACTAAATGCTCGGAGATTACAGATTACAGAGGAGTATGAGAAGTATTTATAGTACTTCTCCGTGTGGGTCTAAACCTAATCCAATCTGGCAAAGGAAACGGTTACAGACCAGGCCCAGAACCCGAACCCAAATAAATTGAGGCCATACACCGTGGGCCGGGGGCGTTGCCCCTGGACCCCACTCGCTGACCCGAGTCGTAGTGGCTGATAGTTCGATTCGAGTCACATCAACACCGCTCATGAACGGCTCGGTGTACGACTGGAGAAAAACTCGTTCGACACTCGATTCGTTTTAATCGAGCCGGCTCGCGAACAAGCTCGTTAACTAAACGAGCCGAACTCGAGCTATACCATGTTCAGCTCGAAAGCTCGCGAACAAGCTCATTTAATGGTTTGGCATAAGAAAAGGATTAGAATTCATGGATTTTATGTATTGAAATTGGGATAAATATTGTGTTTTACTTTGCTAGACTTTGCTACAGGTTTGAATGTAATTTTGTGCGCAGTTCTAGGTCAATCTTGAGCTATCACGAACATTTTATGAGCTGAACTCGATTTTTGGCTCGTTAAGCTTATTTGATGAGCCGAGCTCGAGCTTCCATTTTCATAAACGAGCCGAGCTCGAGTCTGGAAATATATTAACGAGCCGAGTCCGAACTATGACAAAGCTCGGCTCGACTCGGCTCATTAACAACCCTAGCTATTATCTTATATATATAATGGCGGACTACACTTTATTGCCCAAACTTGCAACTACTGTTTCATTCTTTGTCATCTAGCGAGAGATTGACTAGAATTAACGGGCCGATCTGAAGAGTAAAGGGAGCTAATACAAGGAACCCTTCCCATCTCTTCTCCGCAATCACAAGCAAACCTTGAGTAATGTCCCATTCTCTCACCATTCCAAGCTGTAGCCTTTTCCCCACACGCCACCACCTATATCCTCACCTTACTCCTTTGGATTAGAGAAGACCTCTCTTCTCTAGTTCTTTCCTATTCAATTTCAGCGACACCTCCTCTTCCTGCATCCAACTCTTCTATCCACCTCACCACCATGAACAACATCTTCCTTTCAAAGCTAGCATTGGCGGCTGGAGACCCTAGGCGCTTCGATGGGTTCTCCAAGTTATCGACAATGCGGACGAACGAAATGAGTGAGTTCTCTTTCTCCTATTAGTTGCTTTTAGGCAACGGTTTCCCGCCTCCCCGCATATCTCATCGTTCTTAGGCTAAGATCCTTCATCTCTACTCTACATCGTTTTTCCTACTCCTTCACTCTGAAATTCAATTCTTTTCTTTTCCGTAGCGGATAGATTTCGTCTCATCTTGGCCAGTGATGAGTGGATTCGTGGAAGAACTCAGTATTTTGAAGTTCACGGTATATGAGCAAATTAAAATTATGAAAAGATTCAATGCTCTTTGTTTCTTGGTTCTTGGTTCTTTTATGGATGGATTTTTATTTTAATTTAGTTGCCTTTTTTCCTTCTGGATATTTATATCATCCAATCTGGATACTAACTGGGAAGAGCTGCAGGATCATACCAGCAACAATATGCGAAAAGCGGAGAGCATTTTTCGGGTGGTTCCGGTGGGATTGTGTGTGTAGCTCTCCCGTCATTCTTCTTTCCCAACAGGTTACCACTTACTATTACCTCTCTTTGTTTGTGTTTTTGGTTTGTCTTGCTCATGTTTGTTTTTAAAAAAACCTTGATTTATGTCATTAGTTTTGTTCTTTACTACTAGGCTTTGGAAGCCAATTAACAATGATCCTTTCTCCGTCTATAGCGATTGCATTCTCACTATCAATCAATGGGAAAAGCCCAAATCTTTCAACCTTTCAGGGTCAGCTCCCAATTCCACCACCTCTTCGGTATCAAACTGCAAAGGAGAAGTAAGAGGAGTTCGAGCTGGCATTTAGTTCGTTCTCCATAGAACTCCGAAGCTATAGTACGCCGACAGGAGGGTATGGATACAGGAGGAGAAAGATGGACTGAGTTGTCTGCTTAGAATTAAGGTCGGAAGGAGCACTGCTGCAGGGAAGTTTTAGGTCTGTCCCAAACTTTATCTTGTTGTTAGGATTGGAAATGCCCTTTCATGCTATTGGAGCCATGGATATGAGTTTAATATATTAGCTAAGAGAATTTCCAAATTCAGTTTTGCATCTAAGGTTGAAAGACCGTTTCCAAGTTTGCCCTCTGTCGAGTTAAACTCAACATCCACTTCGTGGACCTTATTAATATTTTGCAGCAGGTCCTTCCTACTTTTGGCTAATGCATGTATGCATAGGAGGCCTTTCTTGATTGAAAGCTAGTGTTGTACTTTGTGGGGAGGGTAGAATCTCCTTTCAAAAGATGTAAAAAAAATTTCTTTTGCTTGCAATCCTACATAAGGTCTGTACGACCATACCTATCATTGATCTCTTTCCCCAACCATCAAATCAAAATTTTGGTTCATTAAAAGATATTAGCTGACACAAAAATGCACAGCAGTTCTCTCATTAGCCTGTTCATGGGGTTTTATTAGTGTATGTCCTTCTGCCAATAGATATGCATGGAAAGAGAAATTCCAGTCATGCATTAAATTGATGTGGTGAATTTGAATGCAGGTGATGCTTGCTTTTGGTGAACTGGACCTTGAAGTTACTACAGGCTACAGTTGATGCTCACTGATAATGATACCAGGTGAGGATTGGTTTAGTCTTGCCTTTCTTTTGAGTTTGAGAGAGTTTAGGTAAGCAAGCAGGTAGTAATGATAAAATGATTTTGTTTTGTTTTACTTCAGTTCCAGCTGTTTTCAGCCTAGAGTTCTATATGGTTAGTTTAAGCCATTACAATTCATTATTAGGATCTTATTGTTGCAGGAGACATCTTCTTGGAGTTTGATGGGAAGTGCCTTTGAAAAATAGGGAATAGAATCAAAGCACTTGACAAGTCGGCTAGAAAAGGTAAGTAGGTAGCTAAAACACTTCAAGATCTTGGGTCTTTCAGTTTCCATTCCAACTGATGATACATTACTGTCGATCTGAGTCAGGATTTAATGCCTTGGCTTGATTTGAATCTTAGTCATTATGTTTCTTCATTAGGTTAACTGTACAAGTTCAGTGAGAATTTTAGTCTTCTTCTTATGTTGTTTTATCGACCCAACTTCTCGATGGCCGTAGGCCATCTATTTTGTATCTTGCTGATTATGTTGTTTGGTTCAGTTCCTGAAGCTTTTAGTGTTAAATCAATTTGGTGTATCACAAGATACTTTGGTGTTGATACAACCAACTGTGACTGGAGACAACCATTATATACATAGATTGATTCAATAGTTGAGTCAGATTTCTTTAAGTGAATTGCTCTATGGGGATGAAGGGTTTAGAAGATTTGAAGCTAGAGCAAATTGTCCAGTGAGTTATTATGGTTGGTTAGTTCTGGAGAAATTTTGACTGTTCAAAACAATGGTAATTAGTAAGTTGAGTGCTTTGGTTTGTTTTTGTTTATAGTGACTGGTGGTACCAGCAAGGTACCAGTGGCATTTTAATGTTTTTTTTTTTGTTGCTTCCAGACATGTTGGGTGTTGTAAGTCTGTTGCCTTTAAGACGTCATTTAACATATTTGAAGCATCCACAGTTGGGGAAGTTGCTGGATTACAACAGCATTTAAAGGGTCATTCGTGGTTATGTTGCAACTTAAGTGGGGAATATGTGCATTCTTTCCATCAGTGTGTGAGTGATCTCTTTATGCTTTTGAATTGTTATGTTTCTTACTAAAGATAATTGGCTTTGCAGTGGGTGGAGTTTTGTATTCCAAATACAAATAACAAGAAGGTTCAAAGCGGAGAAGAAACAAATATTCATGATGTTGTGTTGTGTTGTGTTGTCAACGATGCATTTGTTGCTCGATGAAGTTGACATTGTTAAACAAGAGTTCTTCATTACTACCAATCCCTTTGGTTGACATTGTTAAACAAGAGTTCTTCATTACTTCCAATCCCTTTGTTAAACAAGAGGTCTTCATTTCTTTGTGTAAGCTTTGTCAGGTATCAATCATCCTAAAATTGAGCTTCAATGCAATAAGCATATGGTGTGTCCGTGCTGCTGCAACATTTCTTGCCCTGCTACTGCGAGTTCGCTTTTGCAATTTTTTAATTTGGTCAATGGCCATTGTATTATCCTGCTTCTCAAACAACGTATTTTTGTCTTAACTGTATATGTAAATGTCTTCATATGTAGATGTAACTTTTGCAACTTAAGTCCCCGCGGGTAATTTTTCTAGTAACTAATAACATCTGGGATAATTGGGAGAGTCAAAGGAAACCAAGTTTACCAAGATCAGCATGAAATCCGCTGACAGCAAGGCTGCTCATGCATGCAATTCCAAACCCACAGATCCATAGCTTTGTCGAATCCCCAAATCTCAATGCTGTAGATTTAACACCCACTTTCAGATCGTCTTCCTTATCCTACATGTGTACTCATCACTATCATTTTTCAATAAAGGGAACAAAAGAAATAGAGTCTGCGCGCATGAGAGATCACAGTAAACAGGCTGCCTTCAAATTTGAAAGCTAACTGATTGGTTCAAATACCAAAGAGACAGATCTATGTTTGTGGAGCCATACCTGATGTGCGTATATAGTAACCATATACGAGAGTCCAAAACACACCACTAGCGTAAAAGTGGCAACACAATACAATAGCTGGATCTAGACTTCCTCTTATCGCCGACCAACCTAACAAAGCTCCCCAGTTAAACGTTAAACCCAGATACGCTTGCTTGAGGCTGGACATCATATATAGATGACAAAACATTGCAACCCATCACAAAAACATCAGGTCAAGCAAGTACACACTAGACTAGACTAGAGCAATGGAATAGGCCACCTCATGAGTCATGATGCTTACCCAAAAGGTGAACCTCTTCATACGAGAAAACCAGTAACAATGATGATGCTCCCAAAATCTTGCTGTAAAACATCAACTATTCATAAAAAAAAAAACCAACCTGGGAAAAAACAAAAACAGTTTCTTGTAAACCTAGGATTAGAGGACACAAATATACTACACCCCCATTCAGTTGATTCTACACTGCGTTCAGCAAAACTAAAGCCAAAAAGAACCCCAGAACAGTACAGCTCATGCACCCTAAAACCGGCACTAACAAATATCAAAGATCATAACTTCAGCCTGTTGTAGAAAACTAAAGGACGGCATCAGATCAGATAAAAAAAAATAGTACGTAAACCCTTGGAAGCTAGATAAAAGAATTAGATTGATTAGAAACCAACCTGTAATCATTCGGTTGAAGCCTGAAGGAGAATTCCAAGACCCAAAAGCAATTGAGATGAGAGCCGAGGAAACATAGACCCTGAAATGGTATCAAAAGACCACTAGCAATCGGCCGTAACATGGTGTGTTCTACCTGCATTTCAAGAGTTCTCACTATCATCTCTTCGGAGCAAGCTACCAATCCAACTCAAATTTCAATGAAAATCTTCAGCAGGGCAGCTAATGCATAATACCTTGGTGTCAATATCCTCTACCTGCATTTCTAAAGTTAGAAAAGCAAATTCCCACAGAAGAAAAGAAAAGAAGGTTAATCCAAGACTCTGGGCCTGCTTTTACAGCCCGGCTTCGGCTCCGGCTCCGGCTCCGGCCCGGCCCATTCTTGCATACATTTCCCCAGCTCGGCCCAAACAACAAGCACCAATATGTGAAGAACGCGTAGAGATTTGTCGCGACAACAAGGAGGTTCTTGTTCCACATTTTGCTTCGTCAAATCCAAACATGCAAGTAATTACTCCTCGTATTTGTGTTCTATTAAGTCGTAAAATATACCACAAATTTGGTTATGTTACATGGTACACGGGGCTCGCATTGCCAAAGCCATGTCCTTGTGCTGTGCTACTGACTAGTACAAAAGAAAGAATATGGCTCCTTGTCCCTAATTCGTTCCAAAGAAAGACACTATGATTTCTCCTAAGAATTTGATGGAAAACATCATAATATGTCGTTAGTTTCAAAAACCAAATGGTGACTTCCGCCGACTCCCTCCTTCCCCGTATTGTTCGTTCCATTTGCGCAACTCGTTCATGCTCGCAGCATCAAATGCAACGGAGGGACCAACCTGTTAAGACCACAAGGTGGGAGAACAATCAAACAACCACTTGACAATAGAGATGAAAAGGACTCAAATCAAACACCACTTGACAAACACAATGTTCGCTTTGCTGTAAGAAAATGTTGCAGTAGGGTAACTGTTCAGTTACCTTAGCCTTCGACTGAACGAAATCGTCCAACGTGAGCGGTCTTAATGCTGGACCTTGAGCATTGTCATGTTCCTATAGAGATTAGCACGAAAAACCTTGTCATGTTTGCAGCAAGCTGAACTGTATAGTTTCAACTCGTACTATGGGCCAAGTTAGAGCGATAGAGACCAAGAAGGAACAAGCATTCAAAGCCGAAAAACTGATAGGAGGAGGGGATATTCCATTTATCAGTAAAATGTTTAAGTTACAAGACACATTACCGTGTTTTCTTTTTCTAGGACTTCTTGCACCGGTCGATATGCTGCTGCAATACAGAGGTTCTACAAAAGTGAAGCAGAAGACAAAGTTAATAGTTGTCTGCAGCTACACAATCCAAAGGCTCGTATTAACCATCAATTGTGTACCTTTAAGTCGCTCCCAGAGTATCCTTCAGTTACATTAGCAAGTTCTTCAAACTGGAAATCCGTTTGTAAATTCTCGTTTCCTAGGATTATTTTCAGGATCTTCATACGATTCTCAGCATCAGGCAAGTCGACGTATATTCTGAAATGGCCGATTCAGAAGAAGCTCCATCAGAGAAACGGTCTTGGCAAATTAAACAGCATTGCTATGTGACAATTGACTCTGCACACAGAAGACTGTTGTTCCTAAAAAATTCTTACCTCCTAGGTAAACGACGAATCACAGCATCGTCAAGATCAAATGGTCGGTTCGTAGCACCGAGAATGAGGATCCTTTGACTATCTTTGGATCTTAATCCATCCCATGCCGCCATGAACTCATTTCTCATTCTTCTTGTTGCTTCATGCTCAAATGCACCACCCCGCGCACCTAGCAAACTGTCAACCTATGTTCGCCCCAGGTTGGAAAAAGTCAAAAAGATACCCCAACTTATGGTTGATTGGAAATAGGTACAATGGCTATATTTATAGTTAACCTATTTTGCAAATTGCGGACATCAACATGTAAATAGGGAATACTCTTCATTTTCCCTCAGCATATTGATTGTTTCAGTATTCCAACCATCAAAATGACAAAGATGGGGAAACCATGAGTAGAGAGAGAGAGTGATTAGGAACCTACCTCATCAACAAATATGATTACAGGAGCCAACTTGCTGGCAAAGGAGAAAAGGGCCTTTGTCAACTTCTCAGCATCTCCGAACCACTACATCACAAGGATAAGGAGGCTGAGAAAGCTACCAGAGTAAAGATGTAACACATTCTGAAATGCATGCTTACTAGGGAGTAATAAGACCCTAATTTATGTCTATAAGGAAAGAATGATCAATCTTTTTAGAACATTACATGTATGCAAACGTAAAATGAACTTACAAGCATTAACAACTTATGTTTACATGATAGCATATAGTTTCTTCAGCGTACCTTTGATGTAAGAGTTGAGCCTGTTATGCTGATAAAGTTTGCCCCAGCTTCCGTGGCAAGTGCTTTAGCAAGCAGAGTCTTCCCAGTTCCAGGAGGTCCAAAAAGCAATATTCCTTTGCAAGGCTGTAGAATAAAATGTATTAGAACAATTATCAAATCAATAAAGCATTAAGAATATTTACTCCCTTCCGTTATCATAAAATATTCAATACCCTCAGCAAATTCCCATGAGAAAAAAGCTCTGGCCTCCTCATTGGGAGAATAACAAGTTCATTCAAGGCCTTCTTCACATCCTCGAGAGCTCCTACGTCATTAAATCTGACACCAATCTCCCCAGGTGGTACTACGGCTGAAACAAAGTTGGTTTCATATTCATCCTTTGCCATGTTCTGTCATATTTTAAACGAATTAGAGAGGAACGCAACCAAGAGCATAAGCCATCCAACAAATTGACAGACAGTTAATCAAACATGCCTTCAAACTTTGAGATGGCTTTCTTGATACGCTTTCGTGATCTTTCAACCTCAAGATAGCAACTTCAAGGCTTCACAAGGAGAGAAAAGGACCAATAAGCTTTCAAGGGAGATTTTCAATATGTAAGCAAGGGTAAACTTTCCCTAAAATCAGCATTCACTTATAAATTATGCACACCTTTGGCGAGGCAAAACCAATCTTTCCCCTTCAACAGATGGAAGTAGGCAAGAAGCCAGATGGTGATTCTTGGCCCAGCCAACAACTTTCTCGGCTTCTGTTAAAAAAGTAGGTCCAAGTTACAATGAATCATCCATCGTGCTACTATCACTTGGAAAACAGAATTTGAACACAGAGTGGGATTGTCTAAAGTATGCCACTTACTCTGCTTAGTCAGAACAACACCGTCACTATCTAAATCCAATATGTCTGCACATGACATCTCATTTTCATCAAGAACCTGCAATTATAGATCCAAAGATAATATTTTCATGGCTCTAGTTACTGATTATCAAATGCTAACAGAAGAAGTCTAAGAAATAATACATCATATTGAGTTACCGAACAAGTTCAAATTACCCTATACCTTATGTAATTCATTTATATTGCTCCTTGATATCACAATCTTCCTATCCTCTTCAATCTGTTTGTTGAACGTTCTAAGGATATCATCTTCCTGCAAGGGCAAACAGACAGTGTGGGAAACACAATTATTTGCAGTTTTTGGTTATTTCGTATTAGTGTCGGTTTTTATTGATTGGGGGATTATTTGGGTATTTGGGGGAATAAACAGGGAGTTAATTGTTACGTTTTATTATTTGGGTAGCATATAGGAATTAGACAGGTTATATAATCTGTAATAGTGGTCTTATTTTGGGATTAAGCAATTACAGAACCAAAAACCTAAATCCTAAACCTCTCTCTTCCCTCTCTCCTGCGAATTCTCTCTCTCCCTCTTTGCTCCAAAGCTGCGGCAGCAGCTCCTCTTCTTCCCTCTTCTTGTTCTAAAAATCCCCAATTCTAATCCCTAGTTAGATCAATCCCTAATTGATCTAGCTAATTTCCCAATTCTCATTCTGTAGAAATCCTTGTTTCCTACATCTGGTATCAGAGCCTGGCTCGAGAGTGAGTTCCTCTGAACTCTTGAACCAGGGAAGGCAACAATGGTATCGACCAAATCAATGAAGGCCGCGGAAAAGGCAGCGCAGGCAGCCGGGAGGAGTTCTGAGACGGGCGAAGTTCCGAACGAAGAGGTGGTGATGGAGGACCTTACTGAGCTAGAGGCGGTGAAGGTGGTGGTGCACGAGCACTCTGATGCGCTGGCCAGGCTCGAAGAAGGCCTGGCAAGAGTGCAGGCTGATGCGAAGGAGGATGCTGACGATCTGCGTCAGAGGCTGGAGGACCTGATGAGGGCAATTACCTCGTTGCAGGCGAAAGGAAGCGGGCCAGGGGGAGCACCGATCCCGGCGGAGCCAACGTTCGAAGGAGGCGGCGGCCTGGGATCGGCGGAGGCGGCTGCTGGAGGCGGGGCGACCGCGGCGGCGGCGCTGTCGGCACCGGCGGGTGCTACGGCGACGGAGGTCGGGGCGGGCAGCGGGCCCGGCGGCGGGGCGATCCCGGCGGGGGTGTCGGCGGCTCGGGTTGCCGCGCCAGTCGAGAGGGCCGAAGGGAGCAGGGCTGGTCGGACTGCATTAGGGCTGGGCTCAGGCTCGAGCCTGTTACCTACACCCACGGCCCAAGAAATTGCGGCCCGCAAAGGAAAGGCTAAGATGGCTGGGTATGACACAGATGGGCCTCCTATGAATGGTGGGCCGGGCCAGCTGGGTCACTACACAAGGGTCCATAACAGGCTGGGATGGCTGGATCTGGAAGGTGGGCCTGAGTATGACCAACTAAGCTTGGCGGGCCAGCAGGCCCAGTGGGCTGAACAGGAGATGAGCCAGAGGGGGCCTGGTGGGCCGAATAGGCCCGCTGACCAGATGGGGCCGGGCGGGTCGGCTCCTATTGGGCCGGGGCAGGCGGACGGGTCAGGAGGGGGTCGAACCGAACCAGAGCGAACCGGGATTGGTCGGACCAGTGCTGATCGGACCGAGTTGAGCCGAACCGGACCGGGGCGGACCGGGATGGGTCGACCCGAGGTGGGTCGAACCGGGCATCGACCGAGTCCAACCGCTCAGCCGAACCGGAGGGCGGACAGCAGGGGTCCAGGAGGAGGAGAGGGCCCATATGAGGCGCCTCATGTCCCAGGGGGATACCCGAATCAGCCGGGCTACTATCCGGGTGACTATGGACACGGG